CTAGGTGGGGTGTGAACCCTCCTGTACCCCCACAGTAGACACACCCCTGTCACCATCAGCTTTGCGGTAACGCTTACTGAAACCCATCAATAAATGTTTGTATCTTTTTATTCCAGCTTGCTGTCAAACATATTCTGGCCAACAAAAGCGCAATACAAAAAGAAGACGGCTTAGCAGATTATCACTATGAAGGCTCAGAAAGATGGACGTCGAAAGAAAGATTAAAGTTTCGCGAATCACTTGACAAGCATGGAAAAAATTTCTATGAAATTTCTAAGGAGGTAATTATTGTTGATTAATAGTTTAATACCTAATTAAGGTGGTCATTAATAAAGAGGTGAGGGGGTAGTTCTTGATATCTAGACTGTTAAAATAAAATACATATCTTAATCTAGATCAAAACAAAGAATGTGCAACAATGTGTTGAGTTTTATTATCTGTGGAAGGCATGTCGTCCTGAGGGTATGAGATCAAGACGAGGTTATGCTCAAGAAACTGAATCTGAGGTACAGTATCAACTGCAAAACACTATTCATACTGGATAGCTCTATTAGTTCTAAACTGTTCTCCCTAGAGGTCCAGTAAGGATCATCTCTTATTGACCCAGTGTTACTACAGTCCTGTAGTAACACTGGATCAATAAGAGATGATCCTTACTGGACCTCTATAGGAAGAACAGTTTAGAACTGATGGAGCTATCCAGTATAATAAAGTTAGTTTACTGTAGTTTAGGTTTCCTCCTGTAGTAACACTGGATCAATAAGAGATGATCCTTACTGGACCTCTAGGAAGAACAGTTTAGAACTAATAAAGCTATCCAGTATAAATAAAGTTAGTTTAGTTTAGGTTTCCTCCTGAGGAAACCTAAACTAAACTAACTTTATTTTTACTGAGGAAACCTAAACTAAACTAACTTTATTTAGTACCCAGTATAAATTACTGATTTTCCATTTGTTGTTTATTTAGCAAGGTCATGAGGACGATTGCAGTGATAATGACAGTGAAACGACGTTTATCTTTTTATGTGACTTTCCTGAATGCAATTCGGTGAGTGTAGCCCATCTTATTTACCCAAACATACTTATAAATCCTATACTTGATCTTTGTTGAAACTGGCAGTATTTGTAAAGTTCCTTTGGTGTCATATACAGTACATATATTCTGGTGTGTTTCATTTGTGTATTCCTATATTTTTAACCTTTCTTTTTATAGAAATTCATCTCGCGCCAAGCTTTAAACGGTCATATTAGAGTTCACGGTGGAAGGTGAGTGTTTAAACTTTACAACTGGATAAGAATACAATATGTTCTTTCTGTGGAAAATAGCTGGATTTCGACTCTACCAAACACCCAAGCTTTCTATGGGTACTGGGTCAATAAGGGATGATCCTTACTGGACCCATAGACGGATTTTCATATTTATTACTGGGGTGGTGCCAGAAATTTTAGGGGGGTGAGCCGTGAGCAGGTGACTGAAGCAACACAAAGTGTCACCAAACCCCAGTAAGATCTATATTCTAGGGGTGGAGCACTAGAGCCGCGAGTGGGAGTCTAGAGAGCAGAAAACAAAGTATCCCTGGAAAAATTTGAAAAAAATCATGATTTCTAGCTTCGAAAAAAAGTTTTTTGAAGTTGTCAATTTGTCATATAAATGGATTTGGCATGTCCGATTGTCTGTTAAGACTTGAGAGAGTTAAAGACTTAAAGTTAAATGAACCTATAAAAGTGTAAACCCAATAGGCCAATACACAATATGCTTTTACTTTTATAAAGTCCATTGACATTGTGTTGTTTGAATCCGAGTACAATTTATGATGCAACTCCGACGTAAATAATATTTGGGGCGTAAAAATTAAATCTAGGCAAGTCTATTTCCTAAAAGAATTAAAAACTAAAAATAGTGTTCGTAAAAATTCCAAACGTTCCTTGCGTGCAAGGCACTGCAAACTCTATTCAGGGGAGATAATAGAGTTTCAAAACTTTACAATTGCTCCAATAAACCAGTGAATGCAAGCGAGGAGCGATTAGTTTCAGAGTGTTGCACTGTCTTTTTCTGTTTGAGTGTACTCCTACGTTTATTTTGTATCATCAACACTCTGCACGTTGGAGTGGACTATTTAATTCTTTATTATGCCGAATATTGGGGGGGGGGGGTTGAAAATTTTTTGGAGGGGTGAACATTTTGTTTGGCGGGGTTATAGCTAATATTGGGGGGGGGGGGGTAGCACCCCCCAGCAAATCCGTCTATGTCCAGATGGTTTTACTCATCAACAGTGGAGAAGCTAGTCATCGCAACTGGTCATGCTATGCTAAAAAAACATACACTTAGAATATATTTCTAAAGGTATAGCATGACCAGCTGCTGCATTCACCACTGCTCATCAAGGAGTGAGTCTTCAGAAGTTCAGAACACAAAGTTAGTTTGAGTAAATTAGGTAACACTATGTACAATAAATACCAAACGATTCCATGATAAAGCAATACTAAAAAGATTGCATGATAAAGCTTACTGTTTCAAAGTTTCTACATTTGATTGCACTTCATTAATATTATAATGCAGATTGGTGATGCCATTGTTGAACGTGTGTTTCTGATCATTGAGGTTCCTCTCGAACATTGTTAACATGTCCCTCTGATTGTCTTGATATTCTTGATATTCATTATATTCTTGATTTCTTTCCATTTCCAACCTTGCAAATGCTTGCTTATGATCGTGAAAATCTCCCTCTAACCTTTTGATTTCTAAAAATGCAATACACTTGTCAAGCTCAGTGACTATTCCAGAGCAAAAACATATTCTATCAAGATATGATTGTCTGGAAACTAAACAGAAGTCATTGTGTCATTAGTTTATGTTTATGCACGGTCACGGTGACTGATCTCATTATATTTTTGTATAATGAGGTAATCGTCCAATAGGGATAGCCGAGATAAAACATGCAAAATATTTAATGAAGTTGAGACAAAGGATTTGTGCACAATGAGGCACAGTTCAACATCAAACAAGGCCCTTCTATTTACATCACAAAATATATTTATTATTGCAATAATAAATATATTGTTTTTCCATAAGTTGCCAAGAAACATTACTCTCGGACCCCATGAGTTGAACAATACTGTTTTTGCTTTCACAACATCGAATTTAACAGTCTGAGGAATATCCTTATGCTTTTGTGGGAAGACTTTATACTCCTGAACAGCAATGGTTGATGTCGTGAAAAATGAATCTGGTATCGTGCAACTGGGGCCTCGAAGTAGTTCATTATACTGGTTCTAAAACTTCCTAAAGTATGCTAAATAACTTGGCTATTGTCTCACAGCTAATGTCTCATTCTGTTATGATATATAATACTTTTGTTTGTGGAAACACCACCTAAATTTATTACTGTTATGATATATTGTGGTAGAAGTGTTGACATTGATATGAACAGGAAAATTGAACTATATTTCTTTATAATACTATTTATTTTCCACCGAATACAAGACCACTACAGTGAAAAGAATTAACATTATTTTCTCACTCTGACAAGTGGCGATGACACCACCTGCAGCCGAATGCTCAGTGAAAGCCCAGTTATCACTCCAGTTTACAAAACCTAAGCTCAGAGTCCCAGCTGTTATCAAAATATTTATCGTTTATACTGAAAGATCAGCATGTCAACTTTAGAAAGCACTTAGCCAGCGTTTAAGATAAAACTAAAAGATCTAAACACTATTACTAGATAGTTTTCTTTAAAAAGCACCGATCTGTATTCAACCTACCTGCAAAGCTATGGCGAAGGAGTCGTTGCAGCTCTTCAATAACTGTTATTAGCCCGCCGATCTGACATTGTACAGATCCATCTAGTCTGCATATCGATACAGCAGAAGCAATAAGCTTCTCTAGGTTTTGAAATAAGTCCGTGTGCTGCTGTTCTTTGCCGTTAACTGGAAAAGAACTAGGGCCACTTGCACGATTTTGCGACGCCATACTGTAATTTCTCGCCAAACGGAAAGTGTACTAAATTAACAAAGCACGCTATCACACGAGCCTGTGTTGCTACGTCAGCGGTAGTAGATCGGCGGTACTTCATATAGTAGAAGATTGGCAATCCGGGATTAACTTTAATTGGTTTTATAGGTTTAAGGATTGTTTATAATTTGAATTGGCATTAATTTGGATTAAGATTAAATACAGCGATTTCTTACCATATACTATTCCTAATCCATACAATCCCAGTCATAACCCGGTAATCGTGAATCATTAACCGTAATCCTTAAACCTAATCTTAATCCTTAAACCTAATCTTAATCCATCCTTACCTTATAGAACCCATAGGCGTACCGGGCGGGGGGGCGGGGGGGCTACCGCCCCCCCCCCAGTTTTTTGGGCAGTCGGGCAATATTCGATCAACAGTCGGGCAATTTTGGTTTGCAATAAAAAAAAATGGGACAAATTCTGTCAATTTTGTATAAAATTAAGTCAAATTTTTGGCAAACTTTGTGATTTTTCGAAAATTTGTGTTATGTTTCGAAAAATATTGGTTGTCTGGAAAATTTTTTTGATCCCTAAAATGGTGGGGAGGGTCGCCAAAATGGGGAGGTCGCCAAAATAATTTTTCCTGAAAAATTTTTTTTTTTGGTACTAGTCGGGCAGAATCCCGAAAAGTCGGGCAATTTTCTTTCCGCCCCCCTAATTTTTTTCTTCCGGTACGCCCATGATAGAACCTGCACCAAACACTAATCTTTCCACGTTCTAACTTTAATCGTTACCTAACCTGTTAATCGTAACCTTAATCCTACCTTATTTTTTAAGTTCTTAATCCTTTACCTAAGCCTGAGTAGAAATCCTTACTTAATAGTTAATCCGATCCTAATCCTCCTAATTAATCCACTGAGTTAATTTCTCTTTTAAATAAGCGCTTAGCCAATCAAATACGGGCCCGCGTTATTCGCCATACTCCGAATCAAAATATTTAAAAAAACGTCGCAATTTAATCAAGCAAAACAATTTTTAAATGTTAAAGAATCAGATGTTTATATTAAAAAGGTGAGAACTATATAGTATTTTATTATTCCTTTTTCGAACAAAATACTAGCAGTAGCCTGCTAGAATAGTTTATGAATATTTATATATGGTACATGTAGCATGACAAATGCAAATTTTTGTTTTGTTCGTGCCAGTTTGTGTGAATATTTTGTTGATATTTATAAATAACTTGACAACGTGGCGATTTTAGGTATAAAGTTCCGAGCAATTGTATGGGTGATTAGCTGATTGTTACAGCAACAATTTTATCCTCATCGCAAAAGGTATGTGATTTGGCAGTCTTGCAGCACTTTGCGATCCAAAACAATTTATGTCGAGTATAAGTTTCAGTGTCAATGACAGTATATTTAGTTAGTGACGTTTTAATACTGTATATATTGCTATATGCATTTGATATTTATTTGTTTGTGTGATGCGCAAGCCATCAGTAGGGAGCGAGTAAATGAAATTAAGTTAAACTGCATCTGTCAAATATTCTATTTGTTTGCCTCCAAAATTCAAGATAAGTTTCGTAGTATAATGAAACAAATCAACATTATTTACTCTCATATTGCGAACATTTGATATTTGAGGCAAATAATCATTTTTAAGGATGTTGACCATTCAGAAGCGAGGGACTGGTGTTTTACTGACGTGGTGTTTTATTATGGTTGCTGCATTGTATGTCATATATGTCGCTGGGAGACATGTTTTGACAGGTACAGACTAGAGATCCTCTTCTTAGGGAATGCCGGGCTAGCCCGCTTAGTGAGACAGCCTGGTACGTTTTGTGTTTATATGAGAAAATTTCATCCCGCTAATTACTGGGACAATTTTGTTATTTTGATATTGTTTTGACAGTTGCGGCGGTATCTTTGAACCTTCATCCTGGCAACCGGGCTAGCCCGCTTGTGAGTGTTTATATGGAGAAATTTCCATCCCGGTAAGCGAGATCTCGCCTCTTTCAAGCAAGATCTTGGCAACCGGGCCAGCCCGCTTGTCCATATAAACGCATGATAATTTTTACTATAAAAATAACTATACAATGAGATCTCGCTTACCGGGCTGTCTCACTAAACGAGCCAGCCTAGTTTTTATATAATCAATAACAAAAGGCAACCCTAAGCTAATTGCAGATGTGTTTTTGTATTGATTTGATACACTTTTAATAAATACTTTTAGGTCATATGAACACACTTAATTAGCAGGCCAGCCCAGAAAACCGGACTGGAAATTGTGTCACAACACAACTAGCCCTGTTTAATAACGGGCCAGCCCGGCTCATATGAACAGGCGCTTAGTTCTATCAAGCGAGATGGCCAAAATCTCTATTTACTTGTTCTATCTCACCTTTGGGTTACTTAGCAACCTGTTTACTTTTTCTGTACAGTTGATGGTGGTTATAGCGAATGGTCAGATTTCACCGCATGCTCGGCAAAGTGCGGTGGTGGTGCCAAAACTCGGACACGTTCTTGCACGAACCCAATACCTAATTATTTTGGTCAAAATTGTTCACGGTTTGGAGTAGCGATTGAAACACTGGAGTGCAATACACAACCATGTCCAAGTAAGGATTGATGAATGTCTTATTCAATCTATTTTATTCCCCCCCCAAAACATGAAGTGTTTAATTGGATCACTATGGGTCATTCTGTTAGTCAATCAGTTTCATTTTTTATTGAGTCCATCCAGTTTGTTATGAGATCATTTTCATTTGGGTCTATATCCAAGATCCAGTCTGTTGTGAGATCAGTAGTTAGTCAATTGGTCTGGCACAAGTCAGTCACAGTCATTTAGGAAATTGTTATTGTAAAGCCCTGGGCAAACTAGGAAACATTGTTTCGGAAACATTGTTTCCTACCAATGTTTCGCCATGTTTCCCAGAGTGGGCAAACACTAGGGAACATTAGTGAGGCAGTGAGAAAAATAGGGAAACATCAAATGTTTCTGAATTTGGTAGGAAACATTAGTGAGAAACATCAAATGTTTCTGAATTTGGTAGGAAACAAAATTTGCTTCCCGGGAAGCAAATTTTGTTTCCGCAACAATGTTTCCAAGGGTGGGCAAACATGGAAACATTTGGGAAACATCGAGAATCACAAATGTTTCCACAACAATGTTTCTTAGTTTGCCCAAACTTAAGCTTCTATCTACCTTTACAGTTGATGGTGTGTTTGGTGTGTGGGGTGAATTTGGACCTTGCACTGTCACATGTGGTGATGGTACTCATACAAGGGAGCGTAAATGTGACAATCCTGCACCACAGCATGGTGGTGCCCAGTGCCTGGGAGCAAACAAGGAGACTACAAAATGCCAGGAGAAACCATGTCCAGGTTAGTTGAATACCAGCTACACACGTAAAAATGCACAAGTTGTAACAAACCTGCAGCAGACTTGTGGCAATGCTGTTCTAACAACTTGTCAACAGGATGTGTTTGCTGTTCCCAGCTTGTTGACGAGTTGTCAACAACTTGTTGATATCTTGCTACAAGGTTGTTGAGCTCAACTCATTTGTTACTAGTAGTTCCAACAACTTGATATATATCGTCCTGCAATTCATCAATTTGTCAACAAGTTGTGAGTGACAACCTTGTATGGCAACTTGATAAAATAACAGCATTGTTGACAAGCCTGTTACGAACACATTTTGTTGACAAGTTGTGAGATTTTTACGTGTGTAGTTGGTTCTTCAATTTGTAACATGTTTTGATGGTGGCTTTTCAGCAAGGGTGAGTAGTAGCGAAGTAGTTGTAGTTCGCTACTGTAGCGAACTAGAATTTTCAAGGAGCCAGTAGTTTTTTACTACTTTTTTATAACAGTAGCTGTAGTTATAGCGAACTACATTTTGCCTAAAAGTAGCCAAGTAGTTGACTACTTTTCAAACAGTGAATCGCTATTCGCTACTTTTTAAAATTGTTAGCAACTTGATAGAATAGCATGATATTGAGACACGGAGTTGCTTAAAATCAATACTCAATAGTCAATCATTGCACTCTTGAACACTGCATTGTAGTGCTTATACAAAAATGTTGCTTTGTGTTTACTGTTGCTACTCGTAAGTCGATTTGTAATAGGTTACATTACAGCCTGAGTTAGTAGATGCTCGAAATACAGTAAAACTAAAAATATAGCGTAGCGAAATAGCGAAATAGTTCGCTGCATTTTTTAAGCAGTAGCTGTAGTCAGTAGCGAACTACCTTTGTTCAAAAGTAGCAGTAGTTGTAGCTGACTACATATTTTTGAAGTAGCTGTAGTTATAGCGAACTACAAAAATTTTGTAGTCAACCCACCCTTGATTTTCAGTGAATGGTGGTTACAGTGATTGGAATACTTGGTCAGCCTGCAGTGTAAGCTGTGGCTCAGGCGAGAGGACAAGATCCCGAGAATGCAATAAACCACAACCTCAACACGGCGGCAAGAACTGTGAAGAACAAGGCTTTGGTTCAGCAAAGGAAAATGAGCAGTGTACTGAGACACCATGTCCTGCAGCAAACACTACCACGTCAGCTGTAGGGGGGTGACACAGTCAACAATATATAACGGCTTGGTGGGTCTTTATTCTTGACTGAAACCTCCATAATTTTAGTACATATTTCATAAGATTGCTTCTGTCAGACAGAAGTATCATCAAAGTTTTGAAATCAAATTGTACCTTTGGCTTTGGTTTGTACGTTTGAAATCTTGAAATTGTCGGCACATTTTGATAAGGAACTTTGATGATGTAAAAACTAGCTAGCCTTTATAATGGTTCACAACAATGACTTTATTTTCAGTTTCATAATGGACGACTTGCTCTTTAGACTAAATTTTAATCTAAGTAAGAACAACGAAATCTATCACCACAGCTAGAAAGAGCGTCTTGGAATTAGTAATATTACAAAGTTTGGTTGCGAAATGTTGTAAAATACGAAAAATATAGCCCTTCAAAGTTGGCAAATTTGTATACTTTTGTATTACGTGCGTGAATTGGTAACTAAATTAGTTACCAATTTCCCGCAAATAGAAATGTATTGGAAATGTATACAAATTTGCCAACTTCGCAGGGCTATATTTTCCGTATTTTACAACATTTCGCAACCAAACTTTGCAGTTTTTCTAATTTTGATAACTTCTTTCCGAAAATATCCTTTGTTATTCCCAGATCAAAAATTTTTCTAAAGCGCAAGTCGTCCATTTGCACAACAAGAAATGGAAAAAATTGGAACCAAAACCAACTAGCCAATTCACCGATCGAACGACGACCATTTTATTGTATAAGAACTAGCTTCATTCATATTTATACTATTTAATAAACACAATAAGAAGCGTTGCTAATATAAGTTGCCCTGTTCTAACCTTTCGTCTGGATTAATGAATAATGGGGACTAAACTTACAATTACTAAGACCAGCTACAGTATAGACTAAATTTTGATCTTGGCAAGAAGAACAAAATCCATCACCACAGCTAGAAAGAGCATGTTAAAATTAGTAAAATTGCAAAGTTTGGTTGCGAAATGTTGTCAGTAAAATGCAGAAACTATAGCCCTGCGAAATTTGCAAATTTTGTATTAATTTGTATTACGCACGGGAAAATGCACCACAGTTGGGCCGAAAGTGGTGCATTTTCCCGTGCGTAATACAAATTTATTTTATAATACAAAATTTGCAAATTTCGTAGGGCGATATGTTCCGCATTTTACAACATCTCGCAACCAAACTTCGCAATTTTACTAATTTTAACATGCTCTTTCTAGCTGTGGTAATGGATTATTTTGTTCTTGCCTAGATCAAAATCTAGTCTATAGGAATTATCCATTGCCCATTGCATTGGTGTAGTTTTTACACCAAGATGGATTATACAACTATATTTATATGCATCTTGTCCGGATGATGGTCAAGTTTTATATAGGTAATTGGTTGATTGACAAGACCAAACTGCGTAGTAGCACAACTTCGCAAGCCAGGGTTTTTATTACGCTTGATAAAAACTCTGTCCCTGGCTTGCGAGGTCAGTGAACGTAGCAATGCAGTCCAAAACGTATATTTAGCAAATCTCAGCTAAAGAAGTATGTCGACTTCAGTACTTCGTTCAAATCCAGCGAGCCTCGTTCTGGCAGGGGACCAAAATGTACATCTACGCGTTTCGAGTTTCGTAATGGTTGACGCATCCTGGAAAAACAGGAATTATTGTTAATGCGAAAGTTCTGTTCTGCAACATTGTCTATTACTGATAGTGGCCACAACTTCCAATCATTTGCACTTATGAGACCCTAAGCTGTCAGCTGATCGACAAATGTCTTCATTTTCCATGCAGCATATATTAGGTCACCCCGAACTTTCTTTCTGGAGTTTATCAGGTTACACTGTTCCACAGGGATGAATTTTACTGGGAAAGTATGCAGGGAGTACGCACCCCTCTTAGCCTTTGCAAGGGGGGGGGGACTTTCTGTATCAAATCTATATTTTATACTGTAAACATATAGTGAAGCATTTTTTACCTTTTATTTTCAAACTTCTTCAAAAAATGGTTACGGAGATCTTCTAAGATAGGCTGGCTATGAAGAGAGACAAACTGCTCTCGACAGATCTATAAAAAATAAAGAGATCAGACATTAAATAAAGAGATCAGTTTTCTCTGGGTGCTCCGGTTTCCTACCACAGGGAAAGTTGACAGGGTGGGTTAGGATAAACACAGTTACTGTCAGAAAGTAATGATCACAATTGTTACGTGAAAGATAAAATAGTCTAGGTTAAGGTTACAGGACACCCTTTTTGGCGTTTTGTGGAAAATCGCTACTGCGCGCTCAAAATCAGTCTGATTTTCATCAAATTTTCACCAAATGTTAGCCAGTGCATGCAAAATATGATAAAGTTGTAAAATTGACAAACAATAAAATAAGAATTATTCAGGAAAATCTTAAGTCGCGGTACCTTTACGCTTTTGAGTTATGTTCCTGCTGGTTTTATATATATATATATATATATATATATGTATGTATATATATATATATATATATATATATATATATATATATATATATATATATATATATATATATATATATATATATATATATATATATATATATATATATATATATATATATATATATGAAAATATCATTTTTATACAGTAAAATAGTTGTTTTAAAAAATTGTGTTCGGAAATTTTTGTTTAGTTCGTCATTCCGCTGATATGGCGATTTCTTTGACGACTGCAATATATTTCTGAATCGTTTGTGTGAATTGCTCCTTATTATTAAAATATCCAAAATTAGAACAAAGCCGAACACAATTTTGAAATTGACGTCTTTAGCTCTGTCCTGTGAAAATTTGACAAAAATTCGTAAAAACTCGCAGGAGCACAACTCGTTTGAAAATCAGTAATTGCCGTAAAATTTTTCGGGAGAAAATTGAATTTGAATATTACATTTTCAATGTTTTTCTTATTGCAAGCGAAATGTATTTTATTAAATAACTCTGCGAGTTTTCAACATTTTTCGTCCAAACTTGGTCAGATAGTAGAACTAGTCTAATGCTTTCATGGAAACCAATAAAAAAATTTTAGGCAAAATTAACACTCAAAGGTGTTCTGTAACCTTAAGTATGTAATTAGGTAAACGTAATACTCGATGTGAAGCGCGTTCGAACATATCCAGATGTAAGTTTGGCCAACCAAAACAACGACAGTTCACTTACTTTATTCATGGTGTCAACATCACAAGCATGTGTCCAAAAACTATCATGAACCGAGGTAAAAGTCAATCCATGTTTCTGACAATATAGCGCGGTCAGCATCATGTGACATGAGTCCAGTGAATGTATGAAGTTCGGTGGAAATCCTCCTTTCTGCTTCACAACGTTCGGTACCATTTCTCGAGCAGGGACGCGAATTTTAACGAGCTGTAGAGGAGTGCTGACTTCGCGTTTTATCATTCTCTGATAGGATTGGGTGACAGGCAGGTTGAGAGGAGTGACCCATTCGACAAAATGACCACTCAACGCGATTTGAGCTGCTGCGCTCGTAAACCAATCCTGAAAAATTTGAGATAAAGTTAAGGCCATGTTACACGGTGCAATTTTTCTTGCAACTTGCAATGTAATTCTACTCTTGAGAGATGTAAAATTGCCAAATACGAGTATTCATGACACTCCGCTGATGTTTTCTCAACATATCGAAAATTCTTCACTGATTTCACTAATTAACATCTCTCAAGAGTAGAATTGCATTGCAAGTTGTAAATTATTGGATGAGTTGTACAGTCATAATTCATAAATACACTGATACATACGTGTAGTACATACATACGTCATGTAGTTGACTTTAATAGGGGGCTACATTCTAAGTCCTAACATTCCATGGCCTGGGCTAGACGCTGCACCTCCCCTAAATATATGTCCACCTGCCCCAGCATTTCCACTAAAATCCGGCCTTGTGTTCGAAGATATACGCCCGTATTCTAAAAGCACACTCGCACTCAATGAATGGAGGTTCAATCTGAGCTTCTCTTGAGTGTCAATGCTGTTTTTGAATAGCTGGAGGGTTAGTGTCGTTCCTTACTGTGTGCCTACTCACCCTCCCGCTATTCAAAAACAGCATTGACACTCAAGAAAAGCTCAGATTGAACCTTCACTCATTGAGTATGAGTATGAGTGTGAGTGTGCTTTTAGAACACGGGCGTTAGTCCCGCTATGCAAATATTTTCGTGTTCATTGACTGAAAACAAACAATTTCTAAAGAAATGAGGACTAAATTGTCGGGCTGGGTACGCCACTGGTTCTCCCAGTTACAGCGTTCCCCCTCAATTAGCCATTTCCAAATCGAGCAGAGGACTGGGTCTAGTCGATGTTTGGAGGGACAACAAGTTATAGCGAGCGAGCTAAATATACATCAAAAGATGCCTTATTATAATTGTTGCGTTTCAGGCTGCACAAATAACTTTAGGAATGTAGGAAAACTTCCTAGATGCCATATTCGGCATGTTGTTTATTTTTTGTCCCTCCAAACAAGCGACTAGGCCCAGTCTTCTGCTCGATTGGGAAATGGCTAATACACAGCGTGCTTAAGCTAAAGTGGCATAACTCGTACCTGAATGTCTTTCGCAGCATGAAACATCTCTCTTATACTTGCAAACACATTTCTAGTAAGATACGAAGAACCTTCCCACACCACGCTTGGAGACAGTCCAAGACTGTCCAGTTGTCCACTGATCTGTTTACGACCTCCGATAAACGTCACGCCATAGACCAGCGTCATTACCGTCTGTTTCACCACCTTGCGACTCACTTTGCCAACCAAGTGTTGCGCAATTTCCTCACCATTCGCTGCATCTCTCTCGCACATTTTTTCTACCAACTTCGCGACCTGGGAATAGAACAACAATTTCTATTATTAAGCACTGCTGGACACGCGAAATATGTTTGGGCTCGTAGCACGGTGGTTAGCACGTGGGTTTGCATGTGAAAACATTAACCGCGGAAACTTATTGAAGAATACTACCTGCACTGAACCACCACGTTTGAGATACCTTTTTCAGGTAGTTCAGACACAAACCATGGCAGCTTATTGCAGAATACTACCTACACTGGACCACCACGTTTGAGATATCTTTTTCAGGTAGTTCAGACACAAACCACGACAGCTTATTGTAGAATACTATCCACACTGGACCACGATGTTTGAGATATCTTTTTCAGGTAGTTCAGACACAAACCACGACAGCTTATTGTAGAATACTACCTACACTGGACCACCACGTTTGAGATATCTTTTTCAGGTAGTTCAGACACAAACCACAGCAGCTTATTGTAGAATACTACCTACACTGGACCACCACGTTTGAGATATCTTTTTCAGGTAGTTCAGACACAAACCACGGCAGCTTATTGTAGAATACTACCAACACTGGACCACCAGGTTTATCTCTTTAATAGAAGTCTAGCATTAAACAATTGCTTCATTTAACTCACTTCGCTATAAACATCCTCGGGCCTATCAGACGGAAGGACATTGACTTGTCTCCCACCGTATTTATCACGACCCAAGGCGGCATAATGTTGTAGACCATTACACGAACCATCCTGGTGAACCGGTAGATGTGAAATGAAGTTCTCAGGATCACCTGAACGAATTGCGTTTGATATCTCCATACATGTCGCTAACATCTGCCATTTCTCATCTGCTGTTTGCCACCAAAGTTTACCCTATAAATGAGTGGGTTTAGGTTTATGGTTTAAAAATCTCTTCATTGCTTTGTGACACTTAGAAATAAGGCTGTTTTGTGGCATAGTTGTTACTCATGTGCCTCTCATCACTGTGACAAGGGTTCATTCATGTACTATATGCTTCTATATATTCGCTTCAATCACATCTGAAAAGTCAATGGACCTTCCGCAGGCTTTTTTCTGATACTCCTGTTTCTTCATGCAGTAACACTGGATGAATAATAGACGATCCTTACTGGACCTCTAGGGAGAACAGTTTAGAACTGATAGAGCTATCCAGTATAAATAAAGTTAGTTTAGTTTAGGTTTCCTCCTGTAGTAATACTAGATCAATAAGAGACGATCCTTACTAGACCTCTAGGGAGAACAGTTTAGAACTGATAGAGCTATCCAGTATAAATAAAGTTAGTTTAGTTTAGGTTTCCTCCTGTAGTAATACTAGATCAATAAGAGATGATCCTTACTGGACCTCTGGGAAGAACAGTTTAGAACTGATAGAGCTATCCAGTATAAATAAAGTTAGTTTAGTTTAGGTTTCCTCCTGTAGTAATACTAGATCAATAATAGACGATCCTTACTGGACCTCTAGGGAGAACAGTTTAGAACTGATAGAGCTATCCAGTATAAATAAAGTTAGTTTAGTTTAGGTTTCCTTTTGTAGTAATACTAGATCAATAATAGACGATCCTTACTAGACCTCTAGGGAGAACAGTTTAGAACTGATAGAGCTATCCAGTATAAATAAAGTTAGTTTAGTTTAGGTTTCCTCCTGTAGTAATACTAGATCAATAAGAGACGATCCTTACTAGACCTTTAGGGAGAACAGTTTAGAACTGATAGAGCTATCCAGTATAAATAAAGTTAGTTTAGTTTAGGTTTCCTCCTGTAGTAATACTAGATCAATAATAGACGATCCTTACTGGACCTCTAGGGAGAACAGTTTAGAACTGATAGAGCTATCCAGTATAAATAA